AGAGAGAGAGAGAGAGAGAGAGAGAGAGAGAGAGAGCTGAAAGAAGCCTTATTTCGACAAAAATATCTGAAACAGTCGGCTTGGGTGTTACGAAATGATGAACGATCGTGACTTTTGAAGTTCGTCCAAAATATAGCAGTGATGGTCTGAATCTGGAGCAGGTTCCATTCGTTTGCTCAAGCATAAATTGAAATGAAAATGGAAAGAAAATTGAAAGAAAGGGAAAGTGGGTGGCTGGCGGGTGCCCTGGTGTGGTTTGCTCCTTTTTTCCTATCAAAAGCTATTGGCCTTCTCTCTCCTCCTCCTTTTATGTGCTTGTTACTCTCTTGTACACCGCTAATCTTCGGTACTTATATGACCTTATTGTGTTGCAAGTGCCGTAAAACTTTTACTAAAACTAAAACTGAACGGGGAAATTTCATTAGAAGTAACAGTTTGCAATCAGTTGTACTGCCTTTGCCATATATGTCACCAGAACAACAATAGAACGTGCCCTAGAAGTTCAGAAAGATCTTCATTTATGTTTTATAGACTACACCAAGGCATTCGACAAAGTTAGGCACGACAAGATCATCGACATGCTGGAAGTCCTCAATATCGACGGGAAGGACTTAAGGATTATCAAGAACATGTACTGGGATCAAACTGCTGCAATGAGAATAGAAAATGACATCAGCGAATACATACAGGTTAAAAGAGAGTTAGACAAGGATGTGTACTTTCTCCTGACTTGTTCTCCCTGTATAGTGAAAATATCATGAGACACATAGAAGAAATTCCAGGTATCTAGAAAGGGGGACATAATATAAACAATCTAAGAAATGCAGACGATACCGTCCTAATTGCAGAAGATGAAAAACACTTGCAGAATCTATTAAATGTCATCGTACAAGAGAGTGACAACATTGGCTTAAGCCTAAACATCAAGAAAACCGAAACAATGGTGATAAGCAGAAAAACTCCAACCACAACATGCAATATATCAAAATCAATGATACCACCCTCAAGCTAGTACAACATTTTAAATATTTGGGGACCATTATTTCATCAGATGGGAGATGTCCCACCTAAATTGAAAGCCGCATTTGCCAAGCAAAAGCAACCTTCCACAAAATGAAACAGATACTAACAAACATCAATCTGTCACTGGAAACGAGAAAAAGAGCACAGAAAAGTTACATTGAGCCAATCCTATTAAACGGGTGCGAAGCAAGGACCATCAATAAACAGCTGGAAAGAACAATTGTAGCGACAGAGTTGTGGTTCATAAGACGCATGCTGCGTATCCCATGGACAGCTAGAAAAACATGAAGAAGTTTTGGTTGAAGCAAATTGTAGAAGACAGGTTGAGGCGAATATAAGAAAGCGACAGGCACATTTTTTTCGGATTCAAAATGCGGAAAGAAGCAGTGGAGAATATTGTAACAACAGGCAAGTTTGATGGAAAGAGAAGCAGAGTCAGACAGAGGCAAAAGATACAGGACAAGATGACAACATGAACAGCAGCAAGAACAACAGACACCATTGCTGAGACGCAAGACAGAGTGAAGTGGAGGTCCATGATCGCCCACGCCAGTCGACAAGGCACCGGATGATACTGATGTACTGCCTTACTCCCCATCAACGGAACCTCGATCTTTTAGGAGGCAGAGACACTCAATAGAAAGCTCCCCTGATCGGAAATCCAACCTTCGTTTGTTTTCTGCCTACAGGGTCGGGACAAAAATACCATACGATAAGTTAGTTTAAGTAGAGGTTTTACGGCGCTCACAACTGCATAAGGTCATATTATTATGATGGCCAAGGGGTGGATGTCAACAGAGAAGCCCTTAGAGGGAATCAAGACTTATTCTGCTCACCTCTCTAGCCTCAACAGCATAAAGTCTGCTTCAACTATCAAGGCACCCGGGAAATAGCGGGTCACAAGAGAGTGACAAACATTCAAAAGAAGTAGAGAAAAATGACGATAATAAGGATGAGGAAAGAAAAAGCAGCCGTTCCCAGATGCAATTTATTCACAGTTATGAGCATGACGTTGTTGAATCAGCCCATTCACAATTCTACTGGGCATAAGCATCATCACCTCTCTCAGTATACCCAGATTCCGGGGGTTTCCAGAAATCTTGACCTACACCAAAAGTGGACGTTGCCCTACCTATAGGAGAAGTTTGGTTTCATTGGTGTGTATATTTGTTTGGTTATAGAGAAAACTCTCCTTGTCTTTTAAAGAAACTGAACAAGGGGCAAAAACTTTACCTTCGATTTTCTCAAAACAGCATTTTTCGGGAGAGCCCACTTGTGCTTAAAGGTGACCATGTACAATAATATGGCAGCCTGGGCCCGGCAGCGCTGCTGCCTGTTTGGTATAACTGTCTACGAGGTCGTTGTTCTTCTTGTTGGTGATGGTGGTGTTACTGCTGCTGTTGTTGTTGTAGTTGTTGTTGTTACTGCTTCGTTGCTGTTGATGTTGTTGTTGTTGGTGGTGGTGGTGCTATTGCTGTTGTTGTTGTTGTTGTTGTTGTTGTTGTTGTTGTTGTTGTTGTTGTTGTTGTTGTTACTGCTTTGTTGGTGTTGCTGTTGGTGGTGGTGGTGGTGGTGGTGCTATTGCTGTTGTTGTTGGTTGTTGTTGTTTTTGTTGTTGCTGTTGTTGCTGTTGTTTTTGTCGGTGGTGATGTTGGCGTTGTTGGTAGTGGTGGTGGTGGTGGTGTTATTGCCGTCGCTGCTGTATCTCCGAGATATCCCCCACTGAGCACTGTCGAAAGAGCTGTTGTTGTTGTTGTTGGTAGTGGTGGTGGTGGTGGTGTTGCCGTCGCTGCTGTATCTCCGAGATTTCCCCCACTGAGAACTATCAAAGAAGCTGTTGGTACAGCAGCACTCAAAAACTGCTGACCAAATCTATATCTGTAACGACCGCTCGCCACCCACATCCTCAACCTACTTTTTTCCGGAAAAAAGAAAACAATACAGGAAGATGCCACGTCATCATCATCATCAGTATCATCATCATCATCGTCATCATTATCATCGCCATCATTATAGTTAAGTAAACTTATTATGAACGCCAAATCTTCATTTCCAGCCCTACCCTTGCCCCCCCC